GTGGTACTTTTCATTTGGGAACACTGTTGATGCAGTGATTGGGTCAGGGAGAGAATTAATCTACTGACCCACATTCACGCACAAGCTATTAGCATTGATGTTAAGTATGAAAAGGATTCAAGACTGTTAGGTGGGCTTAACTTAATTTCCCTGCGTTCTGGCACTGCCTGTATGCAGACTGCTGTATATTGCAGTCTGGGCTCAGCAGTAAATCTTGCTAAAAGACAGGTGAAGGCCTCCAAATACGGTAACTTTGTGGTCACAGTGGCACATGATGTTAACACCTGGAGTCACGTTGTTCCCCAAGCTCCAGACCCGTGAGGTTTCTCGTGTGCCTTCCTTTCCCTGCCTAGGATCACACCAAGGACCCTCCGTACGGTGCCGATGTTCTGCGCTGGTGGGTAGCAGAGTCGAACGTCTTCACAGAGGTGCTGATTGGACCCGTGGTGCTTAATGCTGCAAGAGATGATATCAACAAGGTGAGAGCCACTACAGGAACGCTCTTCATTCTCATTACGGGACCTCTTTATGTCTGGCTTTGTGTTGGCTGCATAGAAGTTGTTGTAATGTGTTCCACTCTAAACTAAAAGATCTTTTCCAAACTCTAAAACCAGTTTTCTGAAACTAGTTTTACATGTTTATTGTCCAAACTTGTTTACAAACTGGTTTTACATGTGGATCAAATAGGAACATGAACTATGCAAAAGATATCCTGTGGCACACTGAGATAATAGCCAGCCTGTCTTTTTCTTCTGTAGGATTTTGTGGCAAACGTTACATATGGTATTTTGTAATTATTCAAGCAATCAAGCTGAAAAACAACTATTTATTGTTGTAGAACAGCATCATCTCATGCTTAATCTGAAGTGCAGAATACTCTGTTTAACTCGTCTGGTTTATTCCTAGCTTCGGAATACACTACGCTTTATACTGGGAAATATAGATGGCTTCAATCCAGAAACTGATGCCGTTCCTGCTACAGAGATGTACGTAATAGATCAATATATGCTACATTTATTGCAAGATTATGGCAGCAAGGTAAGTTGTTTTCATTTTCACTGTATGTATATGCCCCAGGAGGAAAGCTTAAATTCTGTGTGTAGTATTATTGTAAAGAAGAAAATATGACATGTTGGCCATTCTAACAGTTCAGAGTAAGGTATTTTTTTCTGTGCTTCAACAAATAGATAATTATCAGAATGTTAGAGCTGTTTAAAGGCATTTGGAGCTTAATAACTTTCATTTAAAAAAGAAAAAAAACAGGAAAATTTAAAAAAAACCCTTTCCTCCGAATATCTAAATGCTCAGTTTTCCCTCTGGTATAGGTATGCAATTTCCATTAGAGCTATCAGAGTAAAAAGTATATATCAAAGAGTAAAATTATGACCACTAAGAGTTTCACACTTGGGAGGGAGTCTTTACTTTTTAATAGTTGCGGCTTATTTTTGACAGGAACCTGTCCTTCCTCCCTCTCCTGTGTCCCTTTTCTCCAGGCCACTAATTAGAAATGTAGAGTAACTGAAGTAGGAGCTAAAGAATTAAAATGTTTCAGAGCTTTGGAACTCTCCTGTATTCCACTGAACTGAGCACATTTTATGGCCCAGAACCATTCTGCTGAATGGATATAGTTTCAGTGGTGCCCCTCTCCTCTGTGCCTCCATAGTTGACATGACTTTCTGATTAACTGAATTGAAACTTTCTCTTCCAATGATTATTAAAGAAAAGGTTACCCCAGACTTCACTGAGCACAGCTTGTGTAAATTCAGGTTTATGAGGAGTATTTGTTGGATCATATTGGTACCTAACTCTCTCTGCTTCCCATCCCAGGTTACCGAAGCCTACAAACAATATGATTATAGCAAAGTCGTTCGATTATTGCAAGCTTTCTGTTCCAGAAATTTATCTAACTTTTATTTCAGCATAATCAAAGACAGGTAAGGTAATTTCTGCTGCCTTTAAACTATCATGGAAATGGGGGGGGGGGGGAATCAATAATTTTGAAATGTTCCATGCAAACACTTAGTGAATCCAAGTACCTCTCAGAGTGTTTAACACCTATATATTGTGTTTTAGGGAACTAAAGCACACAGGTGACAGCCTAGCTGCTCTCAGCTATCAGAATCGTTGTTTCTGTCATTGATGTGCTAGTTTCTTCTCTCCACTAGGGGTGCTGAACCCTTTAGAAAGATGGTCAAGCATTGTATATGCTTAGAATTAAATGAAATGGTAAAGATAGATTCTTAAGTCTGTCTTTCTACCTACAGCAGAGTATACCTATGAGCTGGGGGGCAGGGGGAAATGCTGCAGCACTTACTTGGGTGATCTGAAGTCCTGTGGGTTCAAAAAACAAAGAATCCCTAGGGCTTGACCTCTTAAGCAAGGATGCAACCTTAGGGGATGGAGTTGCATCATCTTTGGTTTCCAGGCTGAAAATAAAGGGAGGTGAACAGGGGGGAAGCCTGAATACCGAGCTGAATAAGTGAACTAGGATAAGGAGACTGCAGGCTCACCTTCCTGAGAAGAGATTCCTTTCAGTACAGATGGAACAAATGAGCATGCATGGCACAAAAGCTTCTGAGAACAAAATGTGGCTGCTTGTGTAAATATTCCTGTATCGTCACCCTGCTGTGCCCTCCAAGGGAGGGTAACTAGGAAAAGCTTTTCTTACAAAAGTCTAATGCAGCCTTTCTACTTTCCATGAAGTGGAAACTGTGGCCCTGGTGCGAGCAGTGACAGGGCAATGCTGTGAGAATCCTTCACACCTTCCTTCTCTGTGTGTCTCGCAGGCTCTATTGCGAGGCAGAGGAGGATCCCAAGCGGCGTTCCTGTCAAACTGTGCTAGCAGAGGCGCTCGACATCGTAGTCCGCTCCTTCGCTCCGATTCTTCCTCACTTGGCAGAAGAGGTTTTCCAGTACCTCCCCTACAAAAAGGGTAAAGCACGTGTAGGACTAAGGGCTTGTGATACTGTCTCATTGCGCAGTTAACGAGAATGCAGACAGAGAAGTAGAGCATTCTTTATTCTGCATCTAACAAGCAGGTGAATAGACAGGCACCACATTCACAATTCCTGTTTGTTTTGCTTTCAAGACTCGGAAGGTGTGTTTCGTAGCGGCTGGATTAAAGCAAGCTCCGGGTGGAAAAAACCTGGGACTGAGGAGGCAATAGAAGGTGCATGTGCAATAAGAGACTCTTTCCTTGGGTCCATCTCYGGCAAGAATGCTTTGGAATATGAAGTTGTCATTGTCATAGAGCCTGGACTGCTGTTTGAATTAATGGAGGTAAAAGATACAACTATGGCCACAAGTGTGAGGCCATCTCTTTAATTTCTACAAACATTCTTCTGCTTCAAGAGAAAGCTCTGTGCTTGATGTGTCAAGGAAACTTGAAAACATCTGTCTGCACAGGGGAGCTTTAGACACTGGAATTCAAGTGTGTAGAGGGGCTTCCTCATAGGAGTAAACAAGTTGGGTTTCTGGTTGAAATCTGCACTGATTCATTATCAGAGAAACTTCTTGATTTGTAGTAACCTTGGTGTTAATCTTTAGCATTTATAATTTTAAGAACAGATAATGTTGGAGCTTATAGGGTAGATCTCAGTTTTTASACCAGATTTGAACATATATGCATATCCCATATGTATGGTATGTGGATGTATRTATTTATTTATAAATACCTAAATGTATAGATRTATATATATACACACCATATATTATTCCTATTTTTATAACTTGTGCTATCCTCCTCACAAGTTTCACTCTATTAGTGGCCACAGGACATCTGGAACTATGGCTGTGAACGCCACTCACACACCCCAGTCCTGTTTTGGCTTTAACTGTTGCTAGCAGGAGGCTGCACTTTTAAAGATGCTGAGGAACAAAAACTGGCCGTGGGTCTGAAAGTTAGTGCTCTTGCCTAGGTCCTGCAGGCTGAGGAATCTTCTAGTGTATCACAGCTCAATGAAATAATGATGGCCTCCCAGACCACTCTGCTGAGTGAATTTCCAAAAGAAACACCCACAGATGCAAATATCATCAAGGGGACCTTTCTGATCAACTTAGAAGGTAAGAGACCTATTCCAACCTGGCTCTTCCTCGATGCAGTATCTGGTTTTCTGCGCTGCACCACCCTGCACTGCTCACTGCATCGATAGAGAGTTGAGTTTCACTTTTATAAGGTTACTACTGCACCTCCYCCTAGATGTTCTCAAGAGTGATGCTTGCCTTAACAGGTGGCGATATTCGTGAAGAATCAGCCTATGAAGTTATAGTTCTACCAACTGCCAAAGCCAAATGCCCTCGCTGCAGGAGATACACGTCCCAGTCCTCCAGCACTCCCTGCCCTCGGTGCATGAATGTCCTTGCTGGAAAAGGGAGTGGTTGAAGAGGATGTTGGACCAGCTTGTGCAGACATAGATAACTCAAGGAGTATGGACAGGGGCAAGGGGGTCCTAACAGTAACATCAGGGTAGGGGAGACTGCAGMACCAGGTGTTAATTGCCCAGACAGAGCAGAATTATATTGTCAATAGGGGGAGCYTTGTGTATTATATCCAATTGTGTATATCACTTTTAAGCTTAATTAAAAAGGCTGTTCAAACTATGAGATTTGTTTTAGTCTTACTAACCCTATTAGTCTTAAATGACTTTTCACAATAAGTGAAAGCAATTTTTTTTTCCATTTCTGTACTGGCATGAAGCAAGGGCTCAGAGTACTTAAAGGGCCACCATCATCCCCTAGAAAGGGCAAGATACAATCAAACCTCAAATTTATTTAATCAATTTACACAAATACACAGCAAGTAAGACACAAAATAGCACTATATACATAATATTACTTACAGTACATTACAGAGTTGATTGGTGTAGAGTGTGAGCTCTGACATAATCCCTGTTACAGTAAAATCCTTACACAGCTGTACCACAATACAGGAATGTAATGCAACTACATAATGKCTTTGTGTTTTTCCTTAATTTTCATGATTACTTGCTCTTATTTGTGCAGAAGTTTGAAGTGCTGTCAGGCAAGGTGGTACAGTCTCGGTATAATCTTCCCGTTTTCTTTCCTGGAACAGTTTTAATTCTGTAGTTTTATAACTGAAGTTARTGGAAGTGTAGATAGTGGATGGCCTGTTGTTCTTACTAAAAGTCTCACTGATCTTTGGTTATAACCAATCTCATACGGCTGAAGGAAGTCACACATTTAGCACCAAAACTTGTCAAAGAGCCTTAGTCAGCTACACTGAAGTGCAGCAGTTAAGAACTGTGGACATGGAACAGGTGAAGGAGGTTGTGTAGCACAAGCTCCCTCCAGACGCCCTTTTCGGGAAGGGCAGTCCTTGGATGACAGCAGCACATACTTCAGAAAGGTAAGACCAAATTCTGTGTTTAAAAAAATAAATGCAGAATTTTGTGGAAATTTCTTACATATAATGCAAGAAAAGCAAGTTATAGGACTGAGCTAGTAATTTCAACTGACTTTTAAAGAAAAAAAATAAATACAGTTCACACCAATATTCTGTCCTGGCTTTTTCCAGGAAATACTCATTTAAGTAGAAAATAAACAGTATTAACTGATGCAAGATAAATGTCTTTTTAATATACCACTCCGATAGTGAAGATATTCACTATATAATTCCCTGTAGTTATTGTAAATATAAGCATTTTTTTTTCTTTTTAAGGCTAAGGTATTCAGTAAAGTTGGGTCAACTATTTAAGCAGCTCTTGACTACCAGTTAACATGTGCAGAGACTTACAGCGTACTATGTCTTCGACAGTGATCACATGTGGAGGACAACTGTACAGTAAGACCTTCCTTGACCCGCTGAAACTCAAAAGAGGTTAATACTTAAGGGCAGTAAAAGGATGTAAATCCAGTTTTAGCTGAGGCCAATACCCCTGGGAAGCAGTGCCCAGGGATTAGGATTAAAAGATGAGTCCACACTTAAGTCTGGAGGAGAGGGAGGTTTCCCCCTTGCCTCAGGCCCCAGCACATTCGGTCCTATCTCTAGTGCCACCATCATTCTCACATATAATGCAGTTGAAAGATGCAAGCCCAACACCAGTTCTAGCTCAAAAAAAGCAGTACTGGCTGTATAAGATAACTTCAGTTGCTGCAGTTTCTCAGGTGTAATTCTACAGCTTGCTTTGATGAACTGATCATACATGGGACACAAACTGCAGCAGTTACCACTAGTATGAAATACAGAATTTCACAAAATGTAGTTTTGTAACTAGACTAAAACTGCTGTCAAATCTATCCCAAGCAGCTACCTCAAGAAGCGCTCAAGTGAGAAATAAATAACAAAGCATTTCAGATACTGACRAGTAAGCTAGAAACTAACCATCTTTGTGCTAGTGTAGAATTTAAAATAAATTCCATTTTTAAAATTATCTTCTGAAAGTCCAGGATGGGGAGGGTTGTTCTTTTGGTTGTTCTACAAAGTTTTCTTCTATAAAGTCTGGCCTTATCATGTCAAGTCAAGCAGAACACCACGGTGTGGCAGACTGGCGTGGTCACGATGAGATTGCTTCCACAGCCTCTATCAGGTTCAAGGCAAGGCTGTACTGCCCGTGGTTCTCTGGTAAGTGCTCTATTACTTTGTTAACCAGTTTAGCTGTTGTTGCAATTGGCACGTCTGGATTTTGAAGGTCCTGGGGATCCTATAAAAGAAGAAACAGAGCACTGGAGTCACAAATGATGTCCTGCAGGTCATTCCTGCTGCACTTTCATGAGGAAAGCCCATACTTGAGCATTAAACTGATGCTTTGACTCAGAAGCAGAATCATACTGCTGATGTTTCTGCCACTTCTCACGCTACTAAATCAACTTGCAGAATATTAAGTGAAACATCACACCTTTAATTTGGATAAGCACAAAGCACTGATTTCTGAGTACTGCCACAAGAACAGACTGTCAATAGTCTGTTCAAAGCAAGAACAAATCTACCCTGACATCAGAAGAAAGTATTTCACAAAGACACAAGGGCACTTCTCCATCCAACACACTCAGCTCTCAATCTTCATATTACAGTATCATGCTATGGGTAAAGACAAGTTTCTCTCAAATTTACCTGAAGGCAGTAGCATTACAGTYTGAATCAGCAAAAACATACAGTGAAGCTGCACTCTCCAAAAGACTTTATTTTGAAATGTGAAAATTAATTTTTGTTTCAGCTGGTGAACAGCCTCTGTGGAAGGAAACATCTTCCTAAATCAGGCTTGACTTACCATGGCTTTAAGCCAAGTACATAGCATTGGAGGAAGCCTAGCAAGGAGCTCCATACCCTCCTTTGTCTGCATGTGAAGTAAAATAAAGGCCAGTCTCTGTCCAGTCAGTATAAGGAGCTGAGATGCAAGTACTTCCTTGTCAGTCACCTGAAGAAAGGCCTGAAAACAGGAAAATACAAGAGGTTAGATACTATTTGAGCATCACTCAAACTCACTTACYGAGAAGCATCTTTTGAGACATCCCCCCCTCCAGCCCCTTCATTCAACCTTCAGACACTAACAGGAAAACTGCTTTGGGGACTGTTTTTTGGGTTATCTGCTACTGTGATAAGACATGTTACTAAAAGCTTCACAAGAGCAGCAGAGAACACAAAGGCAGAGAGATGTATTTTGAAGTTCAACAGGGTATTCCAAGCTTCAGGATAATTTCTTAAATTGTTTGCTTTTCTCCTCAAGAAAGAAAAGGATTTTCTGCCTTAGGACTGATAAGCCTTTCTTGAAAYTGTGATCAAAAGACAGATGACAAATGGTCATGCACATTTTTAACTATGCCTAAGAAATTTAGGGAACATTTTTACAAGCAGTTTTATTTCTCACCTATGAAGTCTGTCAACATCGAACATCCCTAAAGAACAGCAMCTGCTTTCTCCTAAATATCAGTGCTCATCTCATATGAGTACATTTACTCTGTTGGTAACAGCTCACACTAGGACTATGTTGATGTTCTTATGAGCAGGTAAAAGAGTAATCTTAATATTCAGACATAATCCTGTATCAATTAAAAAATACTACAAGGTGTTATTACCTCTTCACCAAGATGATCCATTCCATAATTATACAGCTCACAGACATAAAGCCTTCGAACTGTATCCTCACAGATTTGAAGACGCTGAGCCAGATGCACAACCAAAGCTGGCCAATCCTTCTCCTTTTCAAAAGGAAACAATTCATCTTCTGAGGCTCCTTTGGCCTTCTGTGATGAACACAGGGCTTGGACCACTGCACTCACAACTTTCGCCAAGAACTTGGAAGGAAAAATTGCAAGTTACTTCAGTTCTATTAGAAGTTTTAGAAGCTCTAGAACTTCCAGGAGAAAACTTGCACCTACCTGTTGCCGTATGGATAAAACATTTGGATCCATATCCCCACTGGGTAAGAGCTGAATTGAAGTAAGGTCTTTGAAAAAGGCATTCTTGCCCTAAAATAGAGATAAGGAGAAGAGAAATAATCAACTTCCAAAATTGAAAAGCCAGAGCATCCTTCCATTTAAATTATATTGCATCTTCTATTTATTTTGGAGATGGAAATAGATACAGTGWAGTTAAAGCTAAGGAACAAAAGGAACATGTTTTTTCATACAGTCATAACATTTTAAGAACTTGCTTTGATATAAAAACCCCTGCCTACCAAATTGGGTRTTTGATATCCTACCAGCTGCTGCTTCAATTTGCATGTATTTTCYTGTCTCTAGCTTATCATGCCAGACCAAAATGCCAAATGTGGCATTTAGTTAGAAATGGATACTCCCTGGCACAAAAATAATTTTTAACTGTTATCTACTAAAATACAGTTGACTGCTCAATTTTACAGGACCCAGAACTACTCACTAATCAAATTTCAGGTAAAACCTGAATGACAGTGACCCCTTTTGCCAGCCATCAAGCCGGCTGTACTCAGAAACAGATAGTGCTGCCCTGTCTATTCATGGCACCCACAGCCCTTGTTTCAGCCCACGCAGGGCCAAGTATCCCTGGCAGCCCTGCTCTGTACTGCATCAGAAACGGGGAATATTTATTTTAGAAGACAAAAATCATCCTAATTTGGGGGTTTGCCTCCAGATTGAGAGAACAGCCAATAGAGAAATACCTAAAGGAATGGCACGCTCCTCATGGAATAATACAGAACTGTGTTACAGATACGGGGAGAGTGTGGAAATGTATAGGTCTCAAAAGCACTTTGTTTCTAAATTTTTTATTTAGTTTTTTGTTTTGTGAAGTTTTGTTTTGTCACATTTTATAGAGTGACAAGGAAAACTTCTTTATACCAGGGTCAGACACTGATGGGAAATATACTGTATTTTGGCCATCCTGAGTTCTCTTTCTTTCTTTAATAGATTGGTTTAATATATGCATTTACATGACAAGCTGTTCRTTCTCCTTGAGAGGCTCTGAATTAGCCTCAGCAGTAATGGATACAACAGCAACACCCCTAACATTTCCGTATTCAAATATTTATGTTTTCTCTGATCTGGTTCCTGTCCAAGCAACTGCAGAAACGTGGCTTCCAGAACTGCATCCTGCAGTCTCATCATGCAGTACTTTCAGGTCAGCTGGTCAGTCAGAAGCTCATTTTTATGAACCTGAGGACACTGCAATCTTTTATTCGTAAGACACAAGGACCACGGTTGGGTCTCCACCTGGTGACAACTCAGCAGCTCAACGCTGCAGCGGTCTAAGTGACTAAGAACTATGCAGGAATTGTTCTAAGGGCAGAAGCAGACATTTCATAGGCAACGGGAACGATTATTAGATGTGTGCACGTAGGTTTCAGAGGCCATACCTTACTATCAAAAAGCGAGAGGGGCTTCACGCTCTTCAGAGAAAACCTCATGACTACGTAGAGGACAGTGCATAACACGAACTGATGCTCCGCCAGCGGGTAGTGGATGCGCTTCTGCTCGAGGGCGAGTTCCACGATGGACACGGGTCCCTGGACGGAGAGCCAGGCGTCCTCGGTGGCCAGCGCGGGGGCCGCCATCTCGTCGCTGCCCACGTCGGCCTGCGCGGGCGACACAACCGCGGCCGCGCCTGAGGCGGGAGGCGCCGCACGACCCGAGCTAACAGCCAGCGAGCCCGTTAACAACCGAACCGGGGGGTTGCTGGGAGAGCTTCTCTGCATGAGGGGAACAGTGTGATGACCAATTCAACCGCAGCATTTCAAAACCGTTTTTAATTCTTAAGTTCCCTATGTTCTACTGGAAAAATATAAACTCTTACCTCTAGTAACGTCTGTAGAAGCTCCGAACAGCAGCCAAGAAAAGATGTCATCGCAGTGTCGCCCATACCTACATCCTGTAACAAAGCATGACTTGAATTTTTGTAGTTAGAATTGAAAACAGCCTTTTTTAACTCTATTTGAGAAGACAATTGTTTACATAGAATACAGTGTTAAGCTCAGCTTATTTACTATTATTTAAACCTAAACAAATGTTCAGCTAAGGACAAAGATGTAGAAAAAAACAGAAGCAAATTTATCTAGTATAAGATTTTAATTTAAAATAGCTTAGCTAAGGGCAAAGACTTGGAAATAAATAAGTCTAATATCTTATAAGATTTTAACTTAAAATAACTACCCATTTACAAGACTATTCATAAATAAGACTGAATTCCTCAAGTAATCATATCTAGTAAATTTCATTTTCTGAAYATATCAATTAAGCTTTACAAAAATGAAATAAAAAAGTCTAACTTCTATTAGGATTGCTATACCTTTGCAATTTGTTTTGTCAGATGAATATTTTCTAAAATTCATAACATTCATAACATTCGTAACATTTTTAGGGCTTCATTTTGATTTTTTTTTCTGATTTTTGTAACACATTATTACTTTCAAAAACAAACTAGTCCTGAAAATAAGTAGTTTTATTTTTCCCCATTTAGACAAAACAGTATTACTTGCCCTTCTGCATAATCTATCCTTGGGAGCTTTTCCAACCTGTTGATAGAATAATGATAATCAGCACAAYTGAATTATTTTAATCATAAAGACATACTGCACTCACTTTTTTACTTAGTATTTTCCTAAAAACAACAACAACAAAAAAAAAAAAACCCAGTTCATTACTAGTATGTAAGGGTAACCTTATCTGAAAGGTATCATTACCTTTCAGAGCCTTCCTTTGAAAACAGGATGATTTCCATACAGATCATACAACACAGAAATGAGTATCACTGCTGCCAGTACAGTGTTGTTCACCCTTCTTAATGTCTAAATGTAAAAATGATGCCCAAAAGTCCTCAAAGCCAGAAGGCAACTAAAAAACAAAACTATCAGTGATTTTTATAATATGAGACTCTATCAAGCATGAGATTAAAGGAAACATTAGTGAGCAGGAGGAAGGAAAAAAAATGAATGCTCTAGAATGATCACTAGGATAAGAAATATTACGTATTCATGCTTTCTGGTCGAATCTCTTTTTAGAGACACCTCAATCATTTCTTGGTTAGCATAAAGTTACTGAGGTGTTGCTTAGATCCAACTTCCACAAGTTAAAAAAAAATATATATATATCACGTTCCGCAAACGATGACAAAAAATCTGCATCCTGGGAAGCCACCTCTTCCACAGCAGAAGGAAATCACACCAATGTTTACAGCACCATGGCAAAGTCTAAACAGCAGCTGAGGGCAGATGCCACAGTTCTGAATCACAGGACTAGTTAAACTTGACACATYGGGTGATCCAGGAGACGGTTTCACAGTCTGCGTAGGACAACTTTCCATTGTCACTTCTGGAACTAAGTAAGGGCCAACAGACACGCTATTTGGCAACAGTATTAGAGCAGCACTGGTGAAGGATCAGTTGTGATTCTGTTACAAAACACAAGTCCTGAAGACTCTGAACCRTATCTTTCAGAAATAACACATACTGTTAACTTTTAATAGTTATTATTGTTAGGTTGAGGTGAAACACAAAATACTTTTTCTTCATTCTTTTATACTCCTTAAAATAAAAGGATTTTATTATTAAAAAGGAGATTTAGGATTAGGATTTAGGTTTTGCAAGTATTTTTCCTGTACCAATGAGTGCATTTTTGTGATCTGCACTGCTTAAGAGCCTTCATTACATCAGCCACTCKCTCCTGCCGCTTAAAGCTCCAGATGGTTAGCCATTCTAAAACCAGATATAGTATTTGAAAATTAATAAAACAGTTAATGGAAGCCTGCCTAGAAATCACTGTCATGATATGGCACTCACCTTGTCCATTAGATAAGTAGCAGAAGAAAGTCTTTTTACTATGAACGTATTCCACATCATCAGAGCAATGCCTAGAACGACCAAATACTGGTAAACTCCAAGCAAATCAGAACAAAACATCTTATGTAACAGAAGCTGGGAGCAAAATGGCTAAAATTCCTTTAGTGGCAGGGAATTAAAATTAGATGTTGAGAGAAACAAGAAGGTAATGCAAGTTATCCTTGTTGATCTGAACATCATATTTCATATTTCTCAAGAATAGATTAYGTTGGAGCCCAAACACAATCAGAAATGCAGGAAATAATTCATTAAAATTACTATACAAACCAAGTTAAACACTGTAGGGACACTGTAACTTTGATGGTAAGCACAAAGGTTTAAAACCGTTGCTTTTGCTATAGTGTGCAGTATATTTTCATATAAAAATAGCCTACAAAAAGGCCAATTCTCATCACATACTCTAACATGTAGAATATTAAGAGAAATATGATATGTAATTGTCTACAAGGACTGCCCGCCACTGCTTTGACTAATTCTTTTTCTAATCTTCAGTTCTAATCTTCTTCTGTTTTAAGCTACACRTACGTTAGCTTTAACTACCCAACTTATTTCCATAACTGTGATGGAAAACCAAGAGTTTGAACGTTAGCAGAAAGCCCTTCCACACAAGATAGTCACCACTCCCAGTGAACTGTACGCATTTAATCCTAACGACAGTGAATTGTTTTACAGTTTGAGCTCATCTTGCATGCGCGCTTCGTACTTACCATGTTGAACGTGGGCATTAACGATGCRTCTAAGGTGATCTATTGACCTAATGAGAAAACATGCTTCCTTATGTAAAACAAATAAAAAAGAGTTATTATTCAAAGCTTGTTTTAAATGTAAACTGTTGATTCTTAAAGGATACACTTTTTTTTTTAAATATAGTTATCGAACTTGTGAGAAATCTATTTTGACACTAATTTTCTCTACTATTTGTCAAAAACATACATGCACACACAACATACCTAAATTCTAAGATCACTGTAAAAATTCTGATGCATAAGAACTTAAGGTAACATTTTCTAATGCTGAGGAAAGCAGCAGAACAAACTCAACATAAGTAATTTTAAGTGACAGTTCTGGGCTTGAAAAAAAAATCTTGAGAGAAGCTGAAGAAATCTCTCCTCTGTCTTTAAATTATATGAAGGTCTCACACAACCTTAGTACTTCTCCATTTTCTCAATTATATTTGTGCTTGCCACTTACCACAGGAATACTATTATGCTTTACGGTCAGTATCTTTCTAATGGAAATTTTTATGAATTAAAATTTTAAAGTTGCTTCTAGTGAGATTTCTTAATCCTTACTCTCCTCAGGATGAAACTGGTTTACCTCTGGGTCCTTATTCCATTGCACTACGTATTCCCAACAGCAATGTGCATGGAGTACATCCAGTTCAAGACTGCAAGGAAACTGCTCATACGCCAGTTGTAGCAGCTCTAGGGGAAGAACCAAAGAGAAACAAGACCCTTTAGTTACAGCACAGATGTTTTCCCCACTATCATTTCTGGTACTTCTGAACTGTTTTATCAAAACACCTGTGAAGATATTTTGAATTAGAAAAAAAAAWYATTATTTTTTTACCTAAGATTGGTGCCAAGTCTGCAACTGCTTCTGGTTCCTCAAGCAAGATGTTACTGTGCGTGTCCACCGACTCCACAGTGTTGTCRGCATCTTCTTTGTGTTTTGCCAAATTCAGAACAACAGGGCTGAAGCCTTGCTTAAAAACCCACTTGGCTACAATGTCAGCRAAGCCCCCTAAGACATAAAAATGTATATGCAGTTTGTGTATCCCAGAAGAATTATAGTTCAGAAGCAAAAGGACAAGTGAACAGATATTCATGACTGTTAACTGATCCATTAATTATACAGCTCAGTTGATAAGAAAATTTTCTAACTGGCTTGCTAAACCTTTATAATTCTTACAGTAGGAATTTTTTATAATTAACAAGCTCAGAAAAGCTAAGAGAAGTAAAAAAGTACCTTTTCCACCTTCAAGCAATTTCTTTACAGAAAGCCTGCCCAAAGGCTCCATCTGAAGAGATGAAATTCTCTTTGTCCTCTTGCTCACTTTGCTCTGCAGCAGTGTTTGAAGTATCAGACAATCCTCTAACTGTTTCAGCAAAAGTTTCCAATATTCAGTGTCAAGAGAAAGCGCTTCCCATGAGTCCGTATCTGAACCTACAATTATTTGGGAAAACTAACAGAACATGCAAGCTGTTTTAGGTCTGGTCACCTCAAGTGGCACAGTTCTGCTTAAAAACCTTTAATATTAAAGTTGAAAGATATATCCTAAGAGCTACTGCAATTTAGAAGAGTAACTTAAGATATTAACGATTATGCAAAAGTAAGTATCATATACTGCTTGTAAGACACAGGGATTTCTCAAATGAAAGCATAAGGAAATAAAAGGACCCAACTTAGTCTCACTCCTTAATTGATATTTAGTTGAAGAATAGGCTACAATCCTTTCAAAAAAACAAAGTAATTCTTCCAATTACTCCATTAGACACACCATTTTCACTCCTTACATATAGAGTTAATCCAGTTCTATTTTAATTTCTCTATTTCAATTATTTTGATGCTTGCCATATTTGCAAGCAATGTTTCGCCAGGTTCTTGGACTACAGGAAACCCAGGAGAACTGGTCTGCTTTTGTAAGTTTTTGCACCAGGAAAACAAATTTCAGAGGTTTGACCATTAGCAGTGCAGGGTTCGGCAAASGACAGTGAAAAACAGGGTAAGAGAGATGGCTTTATGGAAAAGAAGTTGTGGCTGCCGCTTGATTGTAAGAGCAAACAGATAAGAAAATGTGACAAATGTGTATGGGTGAAGCATAGCATGGTACAMTATACCAACATGCCCATTTGAGTACCCATTAAAGATTTTAACATACAGAATTGTAATAGTTAAGATGAATACAGAAAAATACTAACACCACGTCCTCACAACCTAGTTATAATATTCACAAGCCTGTACTCTCCCTAAATTACATCTAATACCTTAAGACCAATTAACAGAAGAAAATACATGGGCCTAGTRCTATTGCAGTAAGGAATATTTTTTACTGTTTTATACCACAATGTGGCGTGCAGTTTCATAGGATTAATCCCAAATTTGCGATGAAGCATTTAATATAAAAAAAAAGGAGCCTTAAAATAAGCCGTAACAAAGTAAGGGTTAAGAGAAATCACCTGTCTATTAAGAAATAAGAAGTGCAAACGCAGTRCAAGTTTGTTATCCAAAGCTCATTGAACTTTTTAGACAAATTTGGAAGCTGCTAAGGCTTTGCTTACAGGAAAGTGATTGCTATCAAAAAAAAAGAAAACTCACCATAMAGTTCACTTCAAATACTTAAATATACCATTCTAATACATCATTCATTTACCTCTGCATGATATTTGTGAAACTCRGGGGGTGTTTATGCCTGCAGCATGGCATGACTGTGCCAGTGCCGGAGCGACAGCAAACGAGCGCTGAGGCTGTTGCCCCAGCGGGACCCCCGCAGCGCTGCCCGCGGCTACCGACCTGCCTGTCCGCGGCGCTGGCCACGATGCCCGCGGCGACGGCGTGTCCAGCGTGGGCAGCGAGCAGCGCGGCCGCGTGGCTCCCCGACTGAACGCAAGCCGCCCGCAGCTGCTGCCACCAGGGGGAAGCCGAGCGAGCGTCCCACGGCTCATCTACAGCAACTGCACGGACAGGAAAAGTGGGACACTCAGCTCACGGCGTTGGATGTTAAATAGCAAAGCAGAAAGCAACATTAATTCAGTCTACGGTAAGCAGCAACTTGTAATCACTCTACTCCAACTGTATTTTGTTTTCCTAGATGTTTACCCTACAATTTATAGATCACAATTCAAAATGGAAGAGCCGAATGTAAAGCACTTGGACTCAAAAGTTTCACTTGTACGAAGCAGGCAATATATCCGAATCACCAGGTAGTAAAACCTGCTGCACACTTGCTGCATCTAAGGAATGTCAAAGTGACACCTCACAACACRAACAACTCATCTTCTGCTATTTCCAGACACTGTATGTGCGTAAACACACGCTGCCAGAGTAGCTGTGACTCAACCGGTGTTAAACCGACCTGACGGATTTCTGATGGATTTCTCCTTTCTCTCTTCTAAGATGTATTAACGTTCAATATTTAGCGTTCTCAGATAAATTGTTAAGGAAAAAGAACTACCTCATAGTAATCAGGTAACCTAGATAGAGCTTTTTCTTAGTCAGTCTGGTCAGAGTAAATGTCTAAACGTTTAACAATTTAAACGTGACTGAATTAATGTTGCAAACGCACGTTTCACCTTTCATTTTGCTCAGAAGTGACAGCATAGTGTGAAGACAGCTGATGGACTCTGGTTTATCTAGAATATCCTTTTCCTTGGAAAGCCAAAGATTGAGGAGGAGTGACTGGAGAGAGAAAAAAAATACGTAATTAACATAATTTTTTCAAGCAAGTGTCATGGAGCTGAATTGTTTTATCCATAACATCTTGTTATAGGAGAAAGATCTAAATAGATTGAAAATGGCATAAGTCATCACTCTCAACTTCATAAAAATTGGTACTTTAATCAGTGTTTCAGCTGAAAATCTTAACACAGCCAAATAATACTGAAATAAGTGTTGCAGTCATTAGGTGGCAGAAAAGTATCAAAGGACCAAAATTAGAGGTAGATAATGGTCAAAACACTACTGGAGAGCTTCTGACAAATTTACTTCATTACTTGCTTACAATAAGGAACTGTAAAAAAAAAAATAAAAAATAAAATAATAAAAAATAAAAATAGAAGTGTCTTGGTACCAATTCCTATGCCACTAGAACTGCTCAAGTTATTGATGCAGTTTATCTGAACTTAACTTTACTATATAATTTTGTTTCCTCTGGACAAGTATTGAGGAGAGATTTACAACAGAGTGTTTGTAGTTCCAAAAGCATGCTTTAGACATTCCCATTAGCATGCCCACAGATATTTCTTACTACTATTTTCTTTTTCATATATATATATATATATATATATATTCATATATATATATGAAAAAGAAAAGAAATATATATATATATGTGGGAAATATAAATATGAGCATCCAAAAACTTGAATGTGGGATCATAAAAACATGAAAGGTAGTCTGAACACAGCATTAATCCAAAGATCAATATTCAGAAATCTTCCTATCAGGGGTTTGCCTTTAAAATACTAAGTCAGAAAGTTTAGAAGCACTTAATAAGCATCTTACCAACAAGGTTTGAGGGCTAAAACCTGCTGCCTCCAGCGTGTGACACATTTCTTCGGTGGAACTCTCTCCATGCAAACATTTCCAGAAGAAAAAGCTGCCTGGAGCAAAACACAAGTTAAAGTTATGAGCAACCTCAAAAGTCATAGCCTGTCTCCTCACTTACTTATACCGAAGTCCACCTTACTGATTTGGTCACAATGACTGTAACCCAAAAGACTGAGTTACATCTAAGATACCATGACACTTTATCCTCGCTGGGGAGGGTTCATACAGATGCAGCCTTCCACTTTCTAGCCACAAGCAAGAGGAAAACATTGTATTTTGGAAAGTAACAGCAAACAGAGCATCTCTGGTTGAAGAGATTACTGATTATACAAGTTTTGATTGCTCCCATACAATAGAATGCACATTTAATTGCTCCTATACAACAATGCTGTCCCACCAACATGCAACCCTTGCCACAATGGACACTAGTGCTCCAAATGCTATAGAAAGTAAGTGGAAAATGAACTTACAACAGAATAAAGATTATTGTATTGCTTTGATTATACATTTAGTTCAATCCTTACAATGGTTTGAAGCATCAAACAAGCTGATCCACCAAGTAATACCTAAATACATGGCAGCATGTTGCATCTTGCACTGCACACTAAGAGTTACAAAAATTTATACCTTACCAGCACCTTACCAGTGCTATAAAAAGTACAAAATGCCTCTYTGAGGGCGAAGGAAATCAATTTCTTGAAGATCATGATTTTCCATATAAACTCCTCAGCATGACACTTAATGTTTCAATTACTTTCAGGCTACCTGCGTAAAGCTGAATACCCTCATGAACAATCTCATTGTTACTCATAATTCTAGTCCAAGAGTGTGGGAAGAGCAGCACTTCTATCCCAATTCTTAGACCCAAGAATAATTTCATGGTAAGAAAAAAAAATGCAAATTTACTTGAGTAGACTTAAACTTAAACTTCAAAAAAACCCCTTTGATCTTCATATAGATGAAAGTCAAGCTCTTTAACTTTTCAGTCCCAATTCCYTTCCAGGTTTGAGATTTAAGAACAAAACAAGCAAGAAGCTATTAAGTGAAWATTACCACCTACAGAACTGCCTGCTTTGGAAACAGATTACTTTTTGAATGGATTTACCTTAGCCCGTTCCAATTACCTTTCTCCCAAGAGCCCCTCAAGTCAGGAACAGATTTGCTAACTAAAGTAACCTGATCCCAGACACACACAGGCACCCCCAAAGGCTCACGGCTATCAAAACTTCAGTTCAGCATTGTCAGAAAACTCCTGCAACCATCCCTCATTTGTGGAGTATTTCCTCACCTGCTGCTCCTCTGCTCTCTTCCCCAGGCTGCCTCTGGCCGGCCTGGCCCCATCTCTAAGGGGGTCCAAGCTCCAGTCCTACCACTAACAACTACTGAAGTGTCACCAGGAAGGAAGAAAAGAGGGGGACGGAGCCATTCAGTAGAGAACCTAGTTACCAGTTACTAGTGATCAGTTAATCAGTAAATGAAGAATGCTAACAGTTTTAGAGTAAAACTACCTGCAGAGGTAGTTACTGTTACCTACGTGGGAAGACTTGTCCCACAACTCAACGTAGCAGCAAATCTACCACTTCACACACTACTCTGGCAAGGTACAGCTTGGAAGTCTCCCTAAAATATCTTCTTGCTTGCTTTGTTTTTGAGAATATGCCCAATCTTTAAGGTAACCTCACAAACAGCTCAGTAGTTCTTACCTAAAGCCACATACTCTCTATCTTCCATATTTTTCACATTAATTGTGTCATTTTCATACTCCAGATACTCTAAGAATGTTTTCACAGGCAGTACACAATCTTTCTCATCAGCAAATTGAACGGCAGTTTCAGTGGTTTCAGTGTTTCCTTGCTTATAGTTCTCCAGCAACATCTGAAGCCTAAGAAAATCCTCCTGGTCCAGCCGAAGCAGCTTAGCCAAGTCCTTAAAAGAAAGAAGAAAAAAAAAAAGAAAAAAAAAAAAGAAAATCNTCTATCACAGAAGGCTAATGCAAAAAGTTTTCTTTTTCTTTCAGAAATTAGTGAAAATTGAAACTCAAAAGAATTAAACATTTTGAACACAAAAATTAGTCTTAAAAGGGTCAAAATAATTGAATATTCCCTAATTCAGTTATTCACACAGCTCAAAATGGAGACTCATTCCCCATGCTCAGATCTTGATCACTGTTTGAACAAGCAAACAAGCCCATACAACACCATTCCATATGCTTCAAGTTTATAAGCATTATAAAAATTATRTCAAAAGCAAGCCATATTATAATACAGACCACTAACTTTACTTAAAAATTTAGACAAAAGCAAATATCAGTTCGTGATTACTGCTAGTCCCAAAATATTCCCCAAACGCTGAACAAAGCATTTAGGGACTGCAGCCCCTGTATAACTAACTGAAATCAGAAGCTACTGGCTCAATTTACACTTCTGTCACAATATTCTTTGACTGCTGAAGGATTTTAGGTTGATTAGTTTTTAAGCATTTGTATAGCAACTATAAAGAAAAGTCAAGTAGGMGCTACAAATCTATAGCTTCATAACAAGTGTCAGCCCACAAGAAAACCTTACTAACTTGCTTAAGTAACTTCATAAGAGGCACGGAATACTGGTTTTTAATACTTAAACCACTCATTTCTGATGGAGCCAAATTTTGAAKTTACTCACATTATCTGTAGGTGGAGTGTCTTCCTGTATTTTCTGGGAATTTAGTTTGCTAACTAGTTTATAAAGGTGCAACAATTTCAGTTTGCTTGCACAGAACTGTAGTWGTGCTTCATCCACACACTCCAGCTCTGAAGAGAAATAAAACAGTGTTTTAATTTCAGGAAGTGGCTGTGAGCAGTGAGATACTTCACAGTTGCAGTAAGATCCTTATTGGAATTGGAGGCCACGAGTACCTCAATGTAATTTTTTCATGTACTATCGTCTGTAGTGGTTATATTTAAAATCATGGCAAAATAAAATAAGAATTATTTTTACCAGATGTAAAAAGAATGTTATCACATTCTCTTTATTTTTAAACAGAAAAGGTTTGGTAACATGACTCAGAACAAAGACAGATACACTGCTTTTTCCTGCTAACAGGCCAAACCACAGACTGCCAAATGAAAGAAATTGTTTCATCAGAAGGGGGCGGGGGGCAAAGACGCCAAAATTAGGTGGAAAACTACACCCATGAAACCCTCACTCTCCTCTACCCATTTCAAGAAAATGCATGAAAACACATTGACGTCTGGAGAGGAGAGATGTCTYTTCCAGACTTTGAAGCTAGAAGAGCAGTGCTGTCACCTTCTCCCTTAGGCAGGGCAAGCAACACAGGCATCGTCATTGGCAAATAGTGTATCAAGAACTTTCATAAAACTATGGCAGCAAGTGCTACAGTCTATTCCTAATTGCCTCCTTTTTGGAGGGAGTGGGATATTGTTTGTTTTTCTTTTAAATATCTAATTACAAGATGCTAGGCACATGACAAGTATTGTAAAACCCATTTATTAGCAAGCTATTTGATATCTCTGTGGAAAAAAGAGAGACATGTGAAGGCAACCTTTTATGATACTTAACAACAAAACTAAACAGTCTCCTCATGGAATAGAATAGTTCCACAAGAGCCTCATAGCGCTAGTTTTTCTTCCAGACTTGTTGCAGACAGAGTGCAAACAATTATCTATATTTGCAAAATAAACATCCACCTACCCTGTTTTTTTAAATCATCCATTAATGTCTGAGTGATGCTTGTGAGGGATGATAGTGACACACGTTCACTTGTCAATATACTTTCCAGAGCCTGTTAAGCAAACATTCAACAAAAATCAAACATTTGGTTAATTTTACTGTGAAAAACAGTAAGCCCACAACAGCAGAACTTTCAGAATGATTTTCAACTGTATCCTTGTCATATAACTTGATCCTACAGCAAGCTCTGTTCTGTTTATGCTATTTCCATTTTATCACAGATAATACCTTAAGGAATTCACAAATCAACATTAACTCTTCACAGTATGTTTAAAAAAAAAGTAAAATAATTAAATATTTCAAATAAGCACAGAAAAAAAGTATTTTGGTAAGATTTATAACGGTTTAGCACTCCAGTCTGATAATGCAATAACTTCTTCCCCAGGACTCAAGCACTGATTTCTGAACATTTACCTGTCTCTTCGTAGCAGGGTATTTAATATCCAGGATTAATTCCTTTGCCTCAGCTTCAACCAAGTCTGCAAACAAAGACAATGGTGCCTTTAATTCCTATATTCTAGTCGGACTGTAAAAAGCAAGGCAATCTGCATCACAGTTAAAACATACATGGTTCATGCTATAGAGCTGACTGACACTATTACAAAGAGTTGCCATAACAAATTTAAAACCAACTAAAGTAGCAACTGAGCAGCAACTTTTTCTCAGACTTGAATTTTGTAAGAAAAATATATTATAAAATAAAGACATCTACAGCAAAATGTTGAACTGAACTCTCCCACAACAGGGCTTGCAAGCAGACCATCATGCTTCAAGTAAGCTCTCAAATAAGCTTCAAGTAAGCAGAGCAGAGTGCAAGTAAGACTTAAACGGCAGACAAAGCTTATACTGGATCCTTTTAAGGGACAGGCTTAATCTGGTTGCTTCTAAAATATATAAGCCATTTAAAAAGACCCTGATTCACACAGCTGTCTGTACACACGGCTATCACACCTTGAATCATACACTTACAAGAACCACTCGATAACAATATTAAGAAATTACATAAGAGAACTTACCTGGATCTGAAGTTTTAGCCTTGAGTAATGCATTTAATTTCTTCACTAGGTGCATATCTTTTGCTCGCTCACTCTTTTTATCACTAAAAGAAAATAATTTTACTTATATATGTGAAAGAAACTGAGACTAATGCTTCAGAAAAATACAGGTTTCTTATTTATACTACTTTAAGGTAACAATGACAAAATTCAAGCTAGTGCATACAAATCAGAGACTATTAACAGAGTAATACATTACTCAGCTTGAGGAATATTAGAATTGTTCCCTAGAAATAAAAAATTATTTCCAAAACCAATAATGAAACTAAATTGTGTATACAGAGGCAGAAACACCTTACCTTAGTGCTAAATGAAAAGGTACATGGATGGTTTTCACACTTCCAGAGACTGGATCAAGAAGACATATCTGGTAGGTCTGAGGCTGCCATCCCTGACTGGTCACATTGTTTAAACCCATTATTTTATAACCTGGATACAACAATCTGAAACCAACATAAGAACATAGCTTTTCTATCAAAGAATTAAATTAGCAACTTTCCTTCTTCACAAAAAGAAAAAAGGCTTTTTGTTTTGTAAAGCTAAAGGGTTAAAAGCTACCAGGAGGTTATGTTTTTCAGGAAAGACTTRGAGCCACAAAGCAGGACAAAATTCCCTTCTGTAACACAATAACAAGATGCATTCAGTAGAAACACTGTTGGCAATGCAAAGACAGCCTCCCAGCCAGGAACATCCCTGTATCACTTCTCCCCAATAGTTTAGCTAATATATCTACATGCAAAGCATTTCTTACCTACAGCACTTCCCCACATTGAAGGCCCCAACCCGAGGCCCTTGCTGAGTGCTCCACACTTCCAGGATTCCTCTCCTTGGTGCATAGATCACAAGGAACTGAGCCACCCTGCTCGGACCCTGCGCATGTCCGAAAGGAGAAAAATCCATCTTCTCAGTTTCTCTCTCATTAAGGTCCTCTACAGATTGTATCCAACCAATTTCTGCATCGCGGTATCCTTTATCAGAGAAGGCAGTTCATTAACTTACAGAAATTAATAAAGGATTAGAATGCATAGGCATCAGCTTACTTAAATATTATCCCTGCAGCAAGCTGTTTTCAACCCTGTAGCAAACTCTGCACCAGCGGCCTGTCGCCTCTGTAACAGGGCTCTGTGCTGCGCTCTCCTAGCGCGGCCCACGAGAGGATTTCCCAGAGCCAAATGCAGCCTCCTGCAGAGCTCTGGGGAGGAATCAGCTATTCCCAAAGAAGCCACAGAAAAGAAAACACAGCAGGTCTGTACTACCGGGCATTGTACACAAGCCTCTCAGAGTGGGAGTTATGATCAAGTTTACAACACTGAGGAGGCTGTACGGGGTCCACAACTCAAGAGAAAAGAGTCAGTTCTCAAAATGCTTTCAGTAGATAGTTTTGCTCTAAAAAGGTCTTTCACAGATCAGCAGCCTCACTCATAAGGCTCTAACTGGGATATAACTAGCAAGCTGTGCACGTGCAATTTGCCATCAAATAAAGTTTGGAAGCATAATGGAAAATCCTAGATAATATTAAACTGTTACTAACAAAGGAAAAAGTGGGAGAAAGCACAGAATAATCTGTATAATACAGACCAAATCTGTATAATACAGACCAAAATTCTCTCTTTCCATAGTCTTCTGCATCAGTACTTTCAGAATTGGCACACAATGCCCTTTATCTATCTTTAATTCAGTTTGTAATAACACAATGTTGTAAAATATTCCATAATTCCAGAAAAACTCCTGGGACTCTAAATCAAGCCTGAACACAAAAGCCCAGGATTCTGAGACACATTATTTGCTACACTGATGTACACTATCCTACCTTTCCACATGCGAACTGCAAGTCCTCTTGTAACATCCAGTAAAATAACCCTTCCAAAGTCATCTGTTACTGCTGCCAAAGTGTTACATGGAGAAAGACATATTCTCTCACCATGACGACGGGAATCTGGAAGTCCAAACCTAAAACAAACACAAAACTAAACCACTAAATATTTAAGATAACACTTCAGAAAGAGTAAACATTATTTTATATGGACGAAGGTTTTTTTAAAGTGTCAAAAGTACAGAAAAAATAAGAGTATGGGTAGAGTTTTTGTGTTGTCTGCTAGGAGATCTTGTAGATTCTGTTACAGTTGTACTTAAAACTAAGGGCTGTTAAAACATGAAATTTGCAAAAATTTCAGAAACTAGCATAATCAATCACCTTATAAAATTAACACTGCTCTGAGATCCTTGGTAAATCTTCCTTTATTGCCAAAAAAGCTTAAGAATACTTTAGAAAATCCAGAAAGAATCGTCAGCGCTGAGTTTAGTTTTTCATCAGTTTTCCTGAAACATCAGGTTGTAACTTGGCGTGTTGCCACTCACCTCTTTTCTCGTGTCCCACAAGGAGACAGGATACTACTTAAATTTTTTGAAATGATATCAGCTATCACTTACATCATTCAGAGAAACTTCAGGCCTGATGGTCATGAATTTACACTTAAATTAGATACTACAGAAGCACAGGCTGCACTAACGCAACACGTACAYACATTAGAAATTACGCAGAAATGAATAAAGTTATTTGTAGAGAATGTTAAAAATGGAATAAAGCTTAAAATAAATCACATGCAAACTATGACCCCTGCTTCAAGTCAAGAAAGAAGCTGATCAGCTAACTGCTTTCAAAAAGAATTCTAATAATCAAGAACACAAGAGTTTCACAGCAATTCAGATAATACGTCAAACTTGCCTCACTGCCAATGGGGTGGCAGGTTCAACTTTTGGTTTTTGTTTTTGGACAGGTTCTTCTTCATGTTTGCTCTTCCAACCAAGCCAGCCACTTGCAACAGGAAAGAAAAAAAAAAGAAAGAAAAAAAAGAGAGTATTATGRGAATCAAACTAATGATAATGATTCTAAAAATCTTCAAATTATATGTTGCTACTAAAACAAAAGTAATTTAAAATTTTGTATTTCATTACCTGGCAGCATTAAATAATGCTGAAGTCAGTTTACTTGCAACTGCTAAGGCAACATGAGACAATAGTGGTTGTGAGCTACCCTGAAAGGAAGAATAGAAGTATTTACAAAGCCAAGAAAATGTTCTTAGACTGAATTCAATTGCAAAGTAGTTTTTCAGGTCTCAGACTATGAAAAAATGTCCTCAGTATACCCAGGATTCAGTGTACCATTTGATCAGAATGTGATTAAACCCCARAAGGTCTTCAACAATCCATAAAATGAATGCATACACAACCTCAACCTACATAYTTTTTTTAAGTCATTAAAGTACCTAAGACTCCTCCCAGAAGACTTTACTCGATCGTCACATTGATTTTAAGATAAAGAATAAGTTTTTCCTCCAGATTTCAGTTTCCGAAGMTCAAGAAGGAAGGGAAATGTCAGCATGAAACCAACATAGAAATACTTGGAAATACTCATGCAGAAAAGAAAATCATTAATTATCCAAACAGATTTACCACATTGACTTTGTAGGGCATACCTCCAGAGCAAAAAAGAAGCCAGTGAAAGGATTGGATCCAACAGTAACATACTGGGACATAGCAGGAGGGCTATTTTTTATAGCTGCATTATATCCACCTATGTTGGAGGCAGTCTTCATTTGATCAAAAGGAGACAGTGTTGTGATACCTATGTAAGAAACAAACAAAGAATACACACCATTAAGTGTTTCACACTTTGCAAACAAAGCTACACAATTTTATTCCAGGTTCTAAGTACATTCCTGCCTTCTTGTCTGACAAGGCACAATTCAGGTGAAGAGTAAATTAGGAAACAAAGACCTAGCTAGACAAATTCCTAAGAAAACTACACAAATAAATAGACTAGGTTAAAAGTCCAGTCCAATTTCTTTCAACAATAAGTCAAAAATCACAGAGTTTTTATATGAAGTTGAAGGATTTGCTGCGTTTTCCTGTTTTTCATCACCAACCCTATGCAATSAAAGGAAGCTCCCCACAAACTGCCCGAGTATCAAGGAACCAGCAGAGATGTACACTGAAGAACGGTATCAGCAGCAGTACTTACCTGTCTAACAAACTTCTGACTGCCAAGTTGCTTTTGTGAAAGGGAAGGAAAAGAAACTATGCTTGTTCTCCCTCAGGTCAGCCTGTCTGATAAAAATCTGGGTTTCTGCAAATTCTGAAAGAGTCAAGGTCCTGGAGAGTCAGTTTAGAGAGGTTTTGTTTTGCTGTTTTTTGTTGTTGCTGTTTATTTGGGGGGACAGGAAGGGAGGGGTAGGTAAAGGAACAAACTAAACTTCATTAAACTTGTGAATGAGCTAGATCTTATCCTACCTAAATCTAGTCTCTCTTTTGGTTCTTTCTTACAAAAAAGACAGAATAAAGCAGTTAAACCTCTACCAGCTTTCCCCCTTCAAGTGCAGGGGGAGGCTCAAATAGACTAGAAATAGAATATAATTATGATAGTTAATGAGCTCACTCACAACTTCAGTCCTCTCCCACTACTCATTTTCAGCCAAAGAGTCCCATAAATCAATCCTGTTAATTACTTCTATGCTAACATATCAGCAGTAAGATAATTAGCTTCATCCAGATTAATGTTTTAAGTAAAGAGAAGGGCTTACCAATACTAGCATGATCAACGATTGTATCCACATCCTGCAAGCCCCACTTCTTGTAAGCCAGTGGCGGTGGCTGGACATTCTCACTGCCAGATGCTGCAGCTGTCAAAAGTTGGTAAAACACACACAAAAAGAAATCTCTATTGAGGCAAACACAAAGGAATAGCATAACCAAGTAAAATACATTTGTAATAAAAGCCACAGAATAACCTTGTTTAAATTAACATACACAAGCATCTGCAGAACTAAAATGAAAACTGGGAATACTTGCCTTAATCTAATTAGCACATTTAAGAAAAGCTAACTGAATAAAATTCCACGTGACATCCATCACATTTTCTATTTGCAGACTGCTTTGTCTTACCAGTCATTTACAGATCAGTATTTCTGTGCAAACTTACTTCTGTGCTCTGGGCATGTTTAGAGAAAACTCCTCAGCCAAAGTAACTATAAAGCCAGAACATTCACAAGACATGCAACAGTCTGAGCTGCAAACATCAGTAAAACTAAGATGATGAGTCAAACTCCCTCCAAAATGTATTAGAACACATAAATGATCAAGAATAAATATCATGTAGGATCACTGCTGGAGATAATTACAGCTAGCTTTAAGTGCTTGTCTGCAAGCAACGATCTTCTCTCTTGAAAATAGTAGGATGCAGTCTTAGCTGTGGAATTAGTTGGATCTTTCTCTTTAGAGACAAAATTAGCACCTGCATCTTTTCTCTCTGGTTTGCTGCATGATTCACACACTATCAGTTTTAAGATTTCCAATTTATGGGAGGTTGCCTCTCCTCTGTTCCATGGACAAGCCCTAAGGCTGCTGATATCCCAACAGTCCCTAGAGGTGTCAAATGCTGGCAGATCCATTGAAGTTTTCCATACTCAAAATATACCTATTTTCTGCTGACACAACTGGGTGCAGAGGAAATGAGAATCTGACAAAATTGAAATATAGTGAAAACAATCATCCAAAAATTCGGGAGAACCACCCAGCAAGAGTTCTTGCTCCACATTTAATCTCCCAGAGTTGTAACAGTCCCACATTTGTGCAATTTACCACACAGTAGCGTTAGGTTGTTCTCCTCTTACCCTAGGAAACTGACCCAGTTTCCAAACCACAGTACAAATGGACACCAAAGGAACAGGATCAAAGGCTACAACATCTAACAAGGTACCCAAGACTCTCAGGCCTTGGCCAACACAAAGACCTTTACTGCTGTCATGGTGACTTTAGTATCACTTCCCAGAAGGTCTCTCCCAGGAAGAAAAACATTTCACTAACTCTTAGTGAAATCAGCATCCTGACTTGCTAAACATCTTAAATAGCATTCAAGTGACAATGTGCCACAAAGTCAGTATTACTCAGACAACTTGTACCGAGTTATCTGCCTAAAAAAAAAAAAAAAAAAAAAAAAATTCAATGGAGTACATCATATGCTATATACCAACTGACAAGCAAGGAAGATCCAAATTTCATCTTGATTTGGTCCTTAACGAACAAAAATAAAAATAAAGCAACAACTCCAGAAACAAATATTTCTTTTTAAACATACCTCTTGCTACCTGATTACGACATGCACGAAGGGACTGAAAGAGGCTGAAACCATCGATTGTCACAATGGCTGCTGGATACAAGATACTGAGTTCTTCATTCTGTATATTAAAAATAAATTTTTTTAAAAAGTGTTACTATTATAATAATATCTTTTCTAGCTTTTACATTTACTATTTGAAAACAAGCAATACATCCAAATAGCAAGTTTGTAAYAATACCCAGACAACAAAATAAGACAAAACTAAAGAAATCCACTATTAAGTTGTCCAGTATATGAATATGCAACAGTCATTCAGGCACTTTATTTTGAATTTTTATCTTCTTTCACTGACTTTTATATTTCCATAATATATTTTATGGCTTAAGGAGAAAACACAAGAGTTACAGTAGCTTATGAAGACGACAGAGGAAAAGGTCTATCTAGAACACAAATATCAAGGATTTATGAGCCACATTCTGAAACTGAATTAGCGCCTGAATTACTATTTGGGCACACAAATGTTAATTTGGTCATATAAATGCAAGATGTAAATGCCTTAATGCGTCTGCTTTTCAAAACTGATCCCAAAATGTCATGCTAAATCACAAGAGTGTTTGTACAAAGCCAGCTTAAATTTTTGCGTAGCTTCATTAGTTCCCTACATAAAGCAGGATAACTCCGCCAAGAGCAAAGCAAAATGGCTTTTCTACTAAATAGCATGAGTTGTACAGGAATCTTTGAAGGAAATACTTGTAATTAAATGTGGATTCCTAGCACTCATGAAGATGGTTTTACTTTTCAGCTATCTTCTCTGTGAAATAATTAGAATCAAGTGATTAYGAAAGAGTAGATACAGCTCTCAACACCTATTACGTTGCATTTTGTCCTTTCATCAACAGTAAATATATTTTGCCTGTAAATGAGAAAATAAAAGGAGGAAACGAATTCTTCCTTTGCAAGAATAGGGCAGAGAAAAAAAAAGCAGAACAATTCTATCAGGTTAACTATATTCCAAAGGCGACAGAAATAACTGCTAAATCCAAGCCACACAGGCAAGAATAATTACAGAACGAGATCTACAGCCTGCTGTTCTAAAGAATTTTCTATCTATCCAAAATTTGTAAAGGATGTAGATGATTCACAGAGAAGACTCCCTTCCATACCCCAAAACACTGCCACTTCGCTTTTGAAATAATCTGACAAAACCTGTTCTGTGACACCAGGATGCCTGGGAATTTCATAAGTTCTGCACTTAAGCTGCAGGACAGGATCTTCATTTAAAAGCTGTGCAAGAAGCAGCACCCCACTCTAGAAGAGAAAAAAAAAAAAAAAAAARAAGCGTGAACATTAGTGCCCCCAACCCCTGTCTAGGGGATGCAGAAAGTACAATCTACAGAAACAGGTATTTTAGAGAAATAGCTTCTCTGTAGCCCCACTGAGAAACCTACCTCAGTGTAGAAGCGAACATAGCCAGAGGTGAAGCCAACCACAATGCAGGTCCAGTCAGGACGGCCAGTGGAACTCCTGTTTCACAAAGAGATGCCAGAAATTAAAAATCAACCTGTTCTGAGCTGTGCACATTCAAAACTGTACTGCAAGGGGGTCTGATAATGCATATAGCGTAGGAAAGATCAGCCCTTACCTCTTCTGACTTGCCAGTGGGATACACAACACACTACTGACGCATTCACTAGAAACAGAAAGGTATCATTAAGTGGCGTATTTCAGCCTCCAGCTCTGCAAAATTTTGTCCTCTGTGACAATCTTAACAAACCAGAAGTTGGTGCATTTAAAAAATAATATATATTTTAATATATGTATATAAAAGCACATAATCGATCACACAAACTCTTATCAAGTCAGAAAAGAAAAACTTCATTTTTGAAGACATTTTAATTACAAGTCCATATTAAGAGGCACTGCTTGTGTCCAAATGTTCTATGTATTCACTACAACCTGTTATTGCTCTGTTCTCCTTCAGATTGATTAGTCTGCTAAGACTCTTCAGTACATACTCAAACAACTCTAATCTAATGCATATATAAACCAAACTAAGTTTGCTATGACTTTTTAAATGATTATCAAGAGCAATCATTAAAAAGCCATCAACTTATCAAAACATATTTCTGAAATCCATTCCGTAATTAATAGATTTTACAGACAGAGCATTTTATCATATCATAAYCTAAAAGCATTTAAAAAGCTAATGTGGGCTTCCCCATTAACACAAAGACGTGAGCAATTTCAACCAGAGTTTGCACGGCTACTAAACGCAGAAAAGCATCCTCCGTTTCTCACATCAAAAGGGTTATTTTATTGCTGCCACGACAAAGTTTTACATTGTCTAGGCAAGCAGAAGCTGTGTGAAAGTTTTATCTAAATTTGAGACGACATATCAAAGAGTGCTTAAACATAARTGCCTGCAGTAATGTTGATTATTTGCATTTCAGGTCACTTCCATTTCCCCGGAGGAATGATTAAATAAGCAAGCTAGATAATTAGAAGAAAAAGTTTCTAAATACAAGTTTGACACAAAATAAATTACAGCTTAAAAGCAATGTTAAATGTCTCAGTAAAATCTCATTTTTCATCAGGAAAGCTTAGCTACCACAGGACTTCCAGTTGAAGTCCACGCTGGGCACAATTTTTTTCAAGTCTTTAAACCAACTGTGTTATATTTACACATCCATAGAAACAGAAATTTCACCTACGGGAAGTGCTTGCAAACCTTAAGCAAGGAATATAACTGTGTCAATCTAAAGCAAGCTTCCCATTCCATATGTCAGTGCTCTAGGGATTCTAACTTCACCAGGAAAAAAAAAATTAAAARAATAAAAACAATTTGGCAAGTTCAGTGGTAGGAGGGAGAAACATTGCACAGTCACAATACAGAACAGTTCAAACCTGTGCCAGCAGCAGGTTTATAAAATAGGATTATGCTTTTTACAGATTGGAGAGAAGCCGATTAAGTCAACACCTCCCTCAACACAGCAGAAACCAATGAGGAGGCTGCTCAAAAGGTGACAGTGGCTTAAGACTGCAAGTTTAAGAGGGTTTACAAAAAGAAGAATGAAATGCAAAATCCTCCCCCATAGAGATTTCAGGAAGAGTCTGTCATCTATCTGAAGACAGATCTTGTGGAAATATCATATACACACACCAAAAGCAACACCAAAGTAAATTTTCAAAATCCCCTAAGYAACCTGAATCCAGAATCTGCTTCTGAAAGTGGCCGAAATATGAAAGAGGCTATGTATCATGGACATCAATGATAAACTGTGCACACATGAAGTTTTCTGAATTTTGCTCACTGATTATGATTTGGAGTAACATCTTGACCAGGAAGATGGCCTCTATTTGTGTGAGGTTAGAATGACCAAAAGAAACACTGTGATAACCCCRACTTGTTAAAGTTTTTGGAATTATATGTACTTACATTGATTTCCACGGACTGCAACTCCGTTAATCTGCAGGAACTCATACTGCCATAAGGAGTTCATACACATACATATCACAGCACACACAAAAAATGACTTTCTCAGAAAATGCCTCTCATCATCCAKCTTACTCCATTTCTCCATTTATAACATTAGAATGGATATAGGCATGAAATGCAGTTCAGAGCACTTCCTCCCCAAGATTTGGAAAGTATATTCAAATAAAAGTATAAGTGTGTATATATATAAAAATATATTTTATATATATTTATATAATAAAAGTATATATTCAAATAAATACTATTTTATTGCAAACATTAAAAATACAAAAAGATGTTTTAATTACAACTAGAGTTCAGCACCTACCCGTCTTCAACATTCAGAGAGCCACTCCAGCCAACAGCATATTGCATCTCCTCTTTTCCCTTGTCACTGTGCTTCCATTTGGCTGCCATTAAGAATAAAGATACCATCTATAAAATGGCAATGTTTTGCATCTCACAGATGTAATCCTAGTCCTAATCTTTCTCCTCTTTACAATACATCCTGACACATTTTGGAGATTAGAACGACTAAAAGAAACACTGTGATAACCCAGACTTGTCAAAGTTTTTGGAATTATATGCACTTACATGGAATTATATGGAATGGAATTATTTGGAATTATATGCAGTTAAAGCAGCAATTACACAATTTGAAGATTTAAAAGGAAAAAAAACTACAATATCTTAGATATTAACCAGGAAAGACATACTACTAAAATCCTCCTGAAATGCCTGATTTCAGGAGGTAAAATATTTCTTAAGAGGTAAAACATTTCTCAAAGCATAAAACTAGCACAGAAGACAAAAATTGTTTTGTYCTCTAAGCACCTCTGATAAGTTAGTTACAGTATACCTGACATCTCATTATTCATGAAAAATCTGTTTTATCACTTCCAAATATAATTGAGAAGTAAAGACAAAGAATCCACTTTCCCTGGCAGTACCTGAGGAACTCATGACATGGACTATAAAACACTTGGCCATCTCCAAGTTCTGGAAGACAAAACTTAGATGATGGGGAGGATGATTTTTATTCATATACTAGGATATGTACTTATTAGAATTTATACTTACGCACTAAAAAGACAGCTTTCTGCTCATTAGCTATTACCATCAAGTCATTGGTTGGTGACAATGACAACACACAGCTTTGAAGCCAGTAATTTCTCTGGTTCTTAGAAGCAGATTCCTCTTCTTCCTATGAGTAAAAATGGAGTCAAAAGTAGAAACTTGCAAGACTCATGACAACATTTTGACTTGCTCTCAGCACTAATGCAGAATGCATTAATGCCCAGGTCACTAGAGCTCAAACTGGCACAAAAAAATAAAGACAAATGCATCAACCTTGTACTAATTGTATCAGCATGACTATAGAACAAAAATGAAATAAATATTAATTCTACTTAAGAAGAGAATATAAAAGAAGGATAAAGGAAGATAAAGAAAAATATAAAGGAAGAGAATATAAAGGAAAACAACCACACATGCAAGTCTACCAAATAGCGTAAGCAGAAAAGGGAAAACGAAGTACTTGTTCTCAACACTATGGAAATTCCATTACAGCAGATTTTATAAGGATGTGGTTTAAAAAAATTTATGGAAATTACAGGATGGGTCTTTAGCTCCACTATTTAAGGGTTTTCATATTCTTTTCTTTCCCTAACAGCATCTGAAGTGATTCATTCCCGAGACCACATGCTCATCTTGTCTGTCTTCCTCATCACTGCTGAGGATCCATTCCCTGCTGAAGCAGTTACAGAGATACCACCCAACTCATTGGTGGGGCTCCTGCATAGTGAGATAAAGGCAACAGGCAGGTTTCATTCCTCAGTTCCTTAATTAGAATTCCTCAGTCCATCCCATTAGCTCTCTAGGAGAGAGCTATTGGAGCAGTTCTGTCCGGATGACTCATTCGGACGCAGGGAATTTTTACACAGACATTCTCCCTAACAAAACATCTTACGCAAGTCAGCTGGCAACTGAGGAGCCTCGGCCTCTGCAACAACCCCAGAGCAGCTRCGTAATTCAAAGTGGAACTAGCTGGAGACAGGGATGTTTTTATCCCTGTAAAGAGCCCTGTCCTACAGAGGCAATAGGAGCACATGTAATATGAGCCCTCATTCAACACCATCCACACACCCCCACATAAAAGGAGTACTATATATTTATTAGAAAGATGCTTACAGGAGTGGTCAGAATTTAGGAGTCTGAAATCTATTCACAGGAGATTTTTCACAACTCTACTGCCATGTCCAGGCTCCCCAAAGCCACTGTTCACCCAGCTAATAAAAGCTTCATATCCTAAAAAGACTTTCCTTGCTATCATATTTAGAATAAATAAATAAGTAGAAATCAGCTAGCTCAGTACTTAATTTTTAACACTTTATTTTTGGCATTAGTCCTAAGCAGAATGAAAGTTTACGCATCTGTTTTTTTCCTATTCATTTTACTTTGTAACTTTTATCTCATTCTGATCTATTTCCAGCATCCTTTCTCCTTCATGCAGATTTTGGACTGTCCTTCACTAACCATATAGACAGCTGCAGAAAATCCAGCTCATGCACAGAGAACAGGCCATGCAATTACATCAGGCTGCATCATTCTTTTAAATGCTACAGAAATGACACTTCTCAGCACTAATTCTATACTGGAATGGAGGCAGGCAGGAAGACAACAACGTAACTGCGGATGTGAATCACCTGCCCAAAGCAATGAGAAACCAGAGAACACGGGAAAAAAAAAAGTCAGTACCAAGTAGGTATATGCAAGTTTCCACATTGCTTCTAAAACACATTACTTAAGAAAATAATGACAGGATGCATTCAAGCATGCACTCGTGGGAATTAGAAATTAAGCAAATCCTGTCATCTTTTCAGCTTTCTTATTCCATTCTATACTATAAAATTCTAAGATATCTGCTCCAGGCTCCTRCCTACACGTTCTCCTGTTGTCTGCATTTTGCACTGGATTAGAAGACTCCTTATGACACTTTTTTTTTATTTATTTTTCTCTCTCCCTTCCTGACAGCAGTTGACAGTATTGAGAATGTTACTATCTCCACATAAGGAACACTCCTGAGGCACTGACAGTTGCCTTTTCCTATAGATCAGTTACCAGCCCACTTCRTAAGTCTGTTCTCTTTCAAATACCAAGAAAAAGAAAGTGGAAAAAAGTGGTATTTAGTCTCAGCATAAGGTTTGAGATTTCTTGTTTTTGGTGTTTTTTTGTTTTTTGTTTTTTTTTCAAATTGTAACCACGGGTCAGTTTTTAAGAGTTACTCAGATTCTGAGATTAGATGGTTAAATTCATCCCTCTACAGCTAATGTTCAAAAATTGGATAAATAAGAGAACAGAAAGGAAGAGACTCCTAAAATAGTCTTATCATAGATACAATTAAATACTCAGGACTTCTTTCTAAGACACACTGAAGTTGATCTGCAGTTCCATAATTCTTTGTGGTATTTCTATGTTGTATCAAAGTTGAGATGAGGTTAGATACTAAGAAGATACACCAAGTCTTTCCTCCCTCCAAGGAAAAGCAAGCGAGACAAAAACAACTTGCTTTCTCTGGGTGATTCCAAAATATAAGATGCCCCTAAGAATTTCTCCATATCTGTGAATGCTCTAATGAGAAGTAAAAACTAAAGAACAGARGAACATGAGTAACTATCACAAGTAGTGAGACATATTTTGTTCACTAATCCTGTGAACAAAGTGAACAAACAAGTAGCTACACTCAAAATGCTGTCCAAGAACTTTTTTCTTGGTCAGGTGGTAACTACATACAGGAAAACAAACCAGCATACACACAAGCGAGACAGTCCTTAGCGAAAGACAAGTTAGCAATGAAAACTCACACGTGTGAACTTACAGGTTCTTGTACTTCAGCATCATCCCAGGCTCCCCAGCCATCATCTTCCCAGTTTGCCGATTTACCTGCTTTAAATGAAAAACATTTATCATATAGATACAGCTTAGATAAGGAAAAAGAATTTAAAATTAAAAAAAAAAAAAGATCTTTTTTGGCAGTTGCATTCCTTCCTCAATGCATTCCCTTTTCTCCAATGCACTATAATTTTAGTTTCTGTTTAAAAATGAAATTATAATCGAGTGCTACAGAAAGAACTTGAAGTAGAAGGAACTGATGTGTTATTTCCATGAGTGAAAAAAAAAAAAAAAAACACTTTTAACACCATAAAAAGATAAAAGATATAAAAGATGTATCCTAAGTACCAACTGGAAATGGACTACAACAAAGCTTGTGGTGCATAAATTAATTTTGACAGATTGGAGCTAGAGCTCTCGCCAAGTAATAGTTTACAGTTCCTGGTACAAGATATCACTGATCCCTCATTAGGGCCTCTTCACTTGGCAAATTTTTCAAGCAGATTTGTCTTTTCTCAGTTTCTCCATCACCAACTCGAGAGATTAAAAATGTCTTGCTGGTTTTATACAGCAAATGGAAGTCTGTTTTTGTGGCAAATAATATTTTTACACTTAAATAGTGCATCTCCCTTTTCTTAAGGTGTAGTGTGTGTTTGGTGTGGATTTCATTGTTGTTGTTGTTGCCTTTAAGTTAAGTCTGTTGCTACTGGCTGATCCTGAAATTATCTTCACACCTAAGGGATGTGCATGAAAATTCTTCTGTAACAGCTGGACGCCTGAGGCCACAGGGATGCAGATTTCACTGGCCTCCCTCCAAAGTGGCCAAAGCAAAAGCTGCAGCCYGAGGGGAAAACAGGACCAAGGGCTTTGGTTATTCAGCCCTTGCGAGACGACACTGAGGAGGATTAACAAGACACACGTCGATATCACCTGTGCCATTCAGAAACCAATTTCACTGATGCTATTCAGAAAGCTCAGCAAAACCACAAGCCTACCCCAGGCACCTGGGAAAACTGTCTGTGGGAAAGACTGGCTCAATTCCTAGTGGTCTGATAAAGGTTAAAGTGCTAGTCTTTAAAAAAAAAGACCATACTCTCTCATTGGAAAATACAATGTTAATGTACATTATAGAGCCTGTGCAAAGGGCTACAGGGAGCATCCATTACAAACAGAAGTCCATACTCTGCTTAAAACACATCTAAATTTTTGTACGACTAAAAAAGACAAAAGCTTAAAAATATATTTTAGCCTTAAGAAACAAGCTCTTCAGCAATACTATTGAGCAGGTACTTCACAAGACCGTACAAGCCAAAACACCCACTCCATGAATAACGTTTATTAGAATTTGAAAGGTCTCTAACATCCACAAAAAGGGTGAGTCAACCCATTTTACTGCATCATCGTCAATACAGACCTCACTGCACAGTTATTTTGTGCAGAACTGTGTACGTAAAAAGCTCCAAAGGGTCATGGTCTTGTCTCGTACTTGAGCTTAAAAATCTAACAGTGCACAAATGTATTAATATAAGGGAGAAATGTGACAAGTGTTGCTCAATATAAACTGCAGAAAAAAAAACCACTAGAAATTCAGTGTTTTGTMTAAGGAAGCAATATAAAATTCTACTTTTGTTTGAATTTCATTTGCTCAAAAGGCAACAAAATCTCATTTTTTTTATCAAATTCAAGGAGGAAATAAGTACTCTCACAGGCCACAGTCCGTTTTGCTCCTTCTGAGAGGAGCATAACCACATCCCTGAAACACTGCTAGTCTTGAGGCCAATGCCTTCAAGTAGCACTGAGAGATCACCGTTCCAAAAGATCTCAGCCTCCCTATTTGTTTTCATTATTTGATTTAYGGGACTGAATGCTCAACATGAACCTTTGTCTGTGAGGACTCTTGATGCTTCTTTCTGAACAGTAAGATTTTCATTGCTCTCACCACCATTCTCAGATCCATGAATCACGGACAAGTTAATGCTGGGGAATCATTCCATGAAGGAAGCTGCCGTTATCTTTTCCAAACTGTGCCCTACTTTACAAAGCCACCATCTCCTACAGCCTTGTAATCCTTACAAGTTTGCTCCTTCTCACTCATCCTCCACACTGTATATATTGCCCCTATGTGTCTTAACTGCATGTATTTTTAAAGCCCTGCATGAATTCCCACCTTTCATACAGGGGGGAAAGTTGTTTCCCTATCCCTGTGACACAGACACTTCAACTATGCAACTAAAATGGCTAGGGAAGTAGGGCATTAACACATGAAAACACGGATAGAGAAGCAACCGACAGGAATATTTCTGTAACACCTGAAGCCACCAGCCATTCATCTGTGCCTGCAAATCACAASGTGTCCCACAAAAGCTGTCAGCTTGCAGGAGATGACACCCTTCCCCATGCACCAGCACCTGCTAACAAGTGMAATGACAACAGGAACATAGGTGTCTACCATGAGGATTTTAAAGAAACTTCACACATTTTCCCCTAGCAAAAATAGAGCTCAGGAAACTGTGGAAAAAAAAAAAACATTACGGAGTGGCCAATAGCTAAACAAGTCCCAGACAGTCCTGGATTTGTAATATGCTGTTACTTGGGAAAACCTGGAGCTTTCTTATGCACACCTACATTTCCTATTTCATCTCCRTCTCCGATTTGGCAAACAGTTCTCCTATTTTGATAAAGCAACAACAAATGTCAGGTTTTACCTTACGGCAAAGACATTAAGAGTAGAAATTGATCTACTGCATTTACAGGAATCACCTAATTCTTTAATTTAAAGCACACAGCATTAAAACTTTACCATTATTTCATTTGAACTTTAGGGCTGCTTATAATTTGACATAAAATTGTTTTAAGACGAATTTAATGCACAAAGGCTCACTACAAAAAAACCTATGCAGAACATCCGAGGAATGAAGTACTACATGGCAAACATTTTCACTGATGTTAATGAATAAGGGACTTCTTTGCAAGCATTTTTATCACAACCTTAAGAGCCAAAAGAATAATTTCCCACAGCAGCAGCATGGCCTGGGCCAGGCAGCAGCTGCCTCTGGGCACAGAGCCCTTGTCTGTCCTTCCAGCTCTCTGTAGCAGGCGCCAAAAGGCAAGTGGGACACGAGCTGGCCAGTGACTGCTTGCACAGGTGGGAAACTACACATATCTAATATCGATGGTCTTTCTATATATAAAAGCATTAAACACAGTCAAGTCATGCATCTATTTAGTTCATATCTTCATTTCATGTATGTAGTTTTTCATCATCTTATAAGTTTCCAACTTCTTTTCCATCCCTGCTTCAAGAATTGTTAAAATTATGAGGCATTTTTGTCTCGCGCTACTATYTACAAGCACGAGCTTCATTTTTTTCCCTCCCTCTATATATTTACTGGTGCTCCAGCACCTCTGCATTACACAGTGAGACAAGAGAGACATTTATTTTCTCTTCAGACTAAGGAACTGTAGGCAGTTTTAAATCTTGCTATTCGGTAATTATAGAACATTTACTGGAAAAGTTCCCCTGACTAGAGACTGCCAGATTCTTCACTCATTTTGGGAGCATTACTAAAAAGTCCTTTTTGAGACCAAGATTATAACTTATTTTCAGTTATGGTTTAGATGTCTGTAACAAGTGGGGGAAGAAAGAAAGAGACACTCAAAATCAATTAGTTAGCTCACTAATATGAAAAGCAGTAATTTGAGAGTGCTTTCTCCTCCTTTAGAAGGTCACTACTGCCTTCCACAAGAAAAAAAAAAAGTTAAAAAATAATTCTAGACACTACACATCTTCTTTAAAACAATAAAAAAATGCTGCAAATTTCCACAGCTTATAATGGCCCCAACAACAAACCTTTTTAGTACCATGCTGRGGAGGAAGGCGGGGGGCAGAGACTGTAGTGTTTTATAGCATGGGAAGCAAATGAGGTACAATGCAGAACATCTTGTTTTTCTTTCAGGCACAGATCACAGTTCAAATTCTTGCAAGGAARAAGGAGAGGTTAAAGCAGCAAGAAAGTCAGGGTGCAGATGACATGGCAGAGTACTCTGATGCCATTCTGCAACCAGTGATGACACAGAGCACATCATTTAGACAACAAATATCTAAGAATGTGTTAATAATAAAGTAACAAAAAAAGACAGAGAGAGTACTTTATGATATGTATGGAAATAATGAAATAGAAAGAAAGGACACAAAGCTATCAATGCAATCTGCAAAGACAGGATCCGATTAAAAGATGCAGCACAAGACAGCTCGTCAGAAGGCTCTTCAATAMGAATAAACCAAACTCAATAAGCGGGATACAGAAACAGTTAAGAACTCTGTTGCTAAATGCAATTTATGATTAAATTTTATAATGCATTTTTCCTTTTAACCTTGTTTCCAACTCTGAAATAAAAAGCCTGGTCATCTGTATTTCTGAATTACATTAGTTGACCCAAATGAAGTGAAGTATGCAAGCACAATTCCAAAGACATCATTAGAGGACTCCAGGGCTAAAAAGCACTGTTCAGGATACTGTCAATTTAACCGAACAGGATTTTGGAAAAAGTTCCTCTAACAGGAATAAGCCATCACCTCTGCTGTATTAAAAAAGAGCAGTGAAGGACATAGCTCTAGAACACATCATAGCCCCAGAAACAGTCAAAACTGGTAACTGATAACAAGTGTTATGCGTGTCATTACCATATGATTTTCTGCTCTTTTCAGTTAAATGCCCATTAATTTCTCAATGCTAAAAATCTGTTATGCCTGTGACGCTTTATCACATCTTATAAACAGGATGCATTTAATGAGTTATTTTTCATTCATGTGCAATGTCCTATTATAGACAGTTGTATAATGAAGATAAGTTACAGCTGTTTTCTGATCGAGCCAACATTCACCCCCAGACATCTTGCACACAGCAAGCTGTCAAATTAAATGTTATACAAATACTTTCTATTCCCAGGATTTGTACACCAGAAGCAGCAATTTTCAAAGCCACTTAGATACCATCAGATTCAGTTTCCACAAAAGATTTCCTCCTCACTAATAACATTAGCATCAACTTTTTCCAGGAGTCTTAAATTTTCATGCTTTGAGAGTCCTGTTCTTCACAGGAATGTGAAAAAAAAATTCAAACCTTTTTTTTTTTGGGAAAGAAAGAAATAGGAATTCTGTAAGGAGCATATTCAACTAGCTTAATCCACAATGACACTTTTATTCCTTTAAGTCAAGTGATGTTAGACCAACCACAACCAGACTTTATTCTGGTTAGTCCTCTCCTCCCACAAGAAACCAKGGCAGATATCGAGACACTTCACTAACCAGTGGACATCATTCCAGCTTCTTTAGCGTTGCATTATTAGAAGTTTTGATGGACGATCCATAGCGCAACCAAGGAATCACAAACACTTGCAGAGTTTCCTGGCCCGTTTCACAGGTAATTACTAACCTGTTGGACCTGGAGGTCATCACAGGGTTGTTTCTTTCCCCTCTAGTTTGTCAGAAGGGTATATCATCCTTCACATGAACTAGATGGATACAGACTGCTGTGCTTCTGAAAAATGGGATGTGAAGTTGTGGTTACCAGCACGCTTTTTAATCACCCTTTTCTATTTCTGAACTGTGTTTAGATGTTCACCCATAAAAAGGGGAAGAAAATTTCACTTTCTCTTGGAATAAGTGAAGATGCAGATTCTTTTAAGAAGTCAGTTACCTTTTAAAATCAAATTTGAAAATGACAGGTTAACTTAATGCTTTTAATGTATAATTTCATTTAAATGCTGTTTTAAAACAACACATGCTGCCAAGGAAACTCTTTTTACTAAATCCTTCTCTGATAAGAAACAATTGTTTAGATTTTGCTTAGTTTAAAAAAAATCTTTGCCTTTGTTCTGGTTATATCATGACACTTTTTTTTTTTTTTCCTTTTTTGATTGGGAAAAATATTTTGTTTTCTTTTTCCTAGTGCACAATTTTAGAAGTTGTTTCTTATTTTCTCAGACTTCCCCACTTACTCTTTTTGCCAAGCAAAGTGTTCTTTCACATGAACAATGCAAGAGCCAAAGTACACAGCTGTTACCAAAGAGAAAATAGAACAATTTTTAGAGTGCCATGCAACAAGTCAGTGGCTTGTCAGTGGTAAGACAAATGAATGGGGTAATAGGTAGAGGAGAATAATAACAAAAGAATAAAAACACTTAACAGTAATCTAACCAGAGCAGTAGCTCCAGACACACATTATCAGCTACCAGTTTTTCATGTTTACTTACAGCGAGGGAAAGCAAACTCTAAGATTTTGATCATCCTTCCTGTTTTCCTAAACTGAGCAGCCGAGACTCCGTGACCAGAAGATAAGCAGTGACTGCAGCCTCTACAGCAGCTCAATTTAATATAGCTATTCTCAAAACAATCTTGCAGCTCAATTATTCAGTTCATTAGGCAGCAAACGAGCAGAAACCCGTGCAAGAGGAAAAAGTCTCAAGTTCCACGCAGTCCAAATCAAAAAAGATACTTTTCCCACTTAAAATGCATTCCAACGTAAGATACCATCAAAAGTTGTTGTGGTGTTTCTCCCTGTCAGAGATGAATGCACTAACCATTTCTTCCTCAGTGCCAGCTGTTTACACGCTTTTGCAAAAGTCACTTTGAGAAATCCTTTCCACTAACATTTATGCTTATTTATCCTGAGCCAGAAAAATACCTTTAGTATCAACAAGTTGCACATGCAAGTCCAAAAGATTTGAAAAAGTCCAAATGAGCAACATCTTGAAAAACATTTGATTTTAACACTGGTCTGCGTCACTGATTGAATGAGCAAGTATAGAAATACTGCAGCACACAGCCAGCTCATTAAAACCAAAGAACAGCACCCCCTTAAGATTCTCATTYCTGGGGGCCTTCTAAAATATTAAGTTTCCTTTCTTTACAGCCACCATTCGGTAGATCTGCTGCACCAGCCCAAAAGGATTCATTAGGAGTTTACACACACTATTGTCCCACATGCTACCAAGACATAAGCTGCTTAATTTCTTTTGCATGAGTTACTGGAACACAAACTATTCAAAACACACAACTTCTAAACGGCTCACAAMCTTCCTCTTTAAATTTAGGTGATATCAAGAACATATGGAATCAGCAAACATTTTTCCAGGGCGTTACAGGCATAAAACAATACGGACGGAGATAGCACAGAGCAGTTTTTTAGCACAAGATCTGCATGATCTACGGTATGGCGATGAAACCTGGAGAGGAAACAGTTCTTCCGCAGTCACCTCCTCCACGTACGTGTGGGCATTTGGACGTCAAAGCTCCCGCGCCCTGAGCCGCCCGGGGCCGCGGCTGGATGTTGTCCTGAAGCGGCCGCACTGCGCGCTCCCCCGCCTGCCGGAGCCGGCTCCCCCGCAGAGCGCGGCGCGGGCTGCCCCCCGCACAGAGCTCCAGCGGGGCGCCGGGAACGCGAGGCAGGCGCGCGGGGAAGGCGGCACGCGGGCTCCACTCACCGCTGTCGCGGGCGGGCGCGGCGCCGGCCGCGCGGCGCTGCGGGCACAGGAAGTCGCGGGCCGCCTCCAAGTCCTGGAAGTGGCCGAAGGGCACCAGAGTGCACGACATGGCTGGGGCTGGGGCCGGGGCTGCCGCTGCCAGCGCCGCCGCCGCCGCCTCGTCCCGGCGCCGGCCGCCACCCCGGAAACGCTCGCAGACTTTCCGGCCGCCTGTGCAGGGCGCATGCGCGGAGCGGCGGCGGCCACGTGACGCCGGCAGCCGTTGGAGAGGGCGGCGGCCACGTGACGCCGGCAGCCGTTGGCGGCGGGGGAGCCGTTGGAGGCGGTGGCTCCGGGGGTTGGCCGTGCCGCGTGTGCGGAAGGGCCGCGCTCCCTCTGGCCCGAGGTTGGGGCGGGGAAACCCGCGCGGGGCGGTGCCCCCGAGCCGRAGGAGCTGCCCTACGTTCGTTTTGTTATTAGAGCTGATTTTGTGCGTGGCTTAAATTGTTAATTCATATTAAATCTTGTTACTTGTTTTTGCCCCTTATTTATTAAAGGGCAGCATCTGTGTTTCTTTAGGAGAAGCAGAAGTGACTGAGAAGTAGGCCAAGTAAAGCAAACCTGAAGAAGTTTTAGAGTTTGATACTTTTTTTTTTTTTCGGTTTTGTTAGGAGAAACTTCGCTCCAAACAGGAGGCACTCTTGGCTTGCCTGAAGGTGCTGTGTGCTGCAGGCCACAGCCTTAGGAAACCTCTGTCAAAAATTCAAAGAAACTGGCTTTAACTGGCAACTTCACAGTGTGTCAAGCTGTACGTTGCTTGCAGCAATACTCGGGATGCAGTAGCAATCATGCCCGTGGCGGCAGCGTGGATGCTTGTGCTTTTATTTTAAAGCTCTGACTCCTCAGGCGATGCACAGGTATGGTTTGAAGCAGGTGAATAATCTTGTGCTTGTTCAATACAGGGTTACTGAATCCTTTTGTGTGTGCAAACAGGGATGCAATGACATGTTATCTACAAGGGGAGGGAAGTTCTTAGAAAATCAGGTCACCACGTGGGAAAGGTTGAAAGCAGGGAGGAATGGCTAATAGCTCTGAGGAAGAAACTCATTAGGCATGTAAAGCATGTATAAAATAAACATTTTGTATGTGGGAGAAATGCAAAGACACTCATAATGTCAAGTGAATAAAGAACACATAAGAAATTAACAAGCTGGTTCATCGTTGTTTAGTGATGCTTTTATCACATGAAAGCTTTCTTTAGAGACTAATGAACCTTGCAATGGGCTAATGTCTATCAGATGTGTTATACACAGAGAAGTTGAGTTACAGGAGTGCCAAGATACAATTAACGCTTAAAACAATGAATAATTCAATAAATGAATTAATAAATATTTAAAAACAGAATTAAGCCCTAATGAACTCACGTTAATACCTTGTCTACTGAATTACSTTTTTTGTTGTACTTTCTGCAGATAGTAATTATAATTATTGGAAATCCACAGAAGAAAAATGGAAAATTTCTGTCATAAATTCTTAAAGCTTTTGAACCCATTCAGACAGACATTAATCTATGTACAATATTAACAGTACATTATGGTAACCACTATACTCTGCACTTAGGTGATATGTAGTTTAAAGCAATTAATAGTAAAGGCAGTTAGTGTTTTTCACTTGCAGAAATGAAGGTAAGGAAAGGTTTAAGTGATACACTCACAGGTCTGTGGAGAGGTGCGAGTTCCCTCTGCTCTTCTTGTCACTGACACTCCACACTCCCCACAGTGCAGAATCCCAAATTGGTCGCTGATAAGTTAAACCATCAACTTGATACTCGTTACCACAGGTGCTTCTGTACTGCYATATCAGCTTCACCCAAACAATCGCCCTTCTCAACTGCATGCATTTGGCTTCCAAGTAATGCACACAAAAGATAAAATTTTACATCCTTGTGTGATAGTGGATGAGTGTCTTACTCTTCTCAAGGYAGAGGATTTGCTTGTCCCCTAGGCTAATGCTGAAGTATGTCCACCAGCATCTTTTCATTGCCATTAATTCCACAGATGTCATATTTATGCTTTATATGTATGACAAAGCATTGCATATATTGGAAAATTTACATGAAGTAGATAAAAAAGGACTCCCAACTTTCTCTTTTGTGACCTTTAAAAAAAATCTCTGTGTCTGAAAGACTACAGTGTATGAAATGGTCTCTGCTGAACCATACAAATAAGTCTTGCTGAAATATTTCTATCTTGTATGTAGATGGTTACCCTTCTGCCTAAGGGAGAAGAGACTGTCTGTCAGAACGGATATTTATGCAGCTTATCTCCATCTCAGGTCTGTAGGTGTGGAGGAAAGAAATAACTCCTCTCCCTTCTCTCGCCTGTCAGCTCACCTCTGCCTTCTTGATCTGTACAGTCACAGAGAAAAACCTCTGCCAAGCTGCCCGATGCTCTGCGGGAGAGAGGATCTGTGTGCACAGGAGGTAACCACAGTGAAAATGCTTCACTGAATGCCTGAATATAACTTGGTGATCCAGATTCCACTTGGTACCATTTGGGCTTAAGTTAAGAGTTGGGATTTGATTAATTCTAATTCATGCTTAGTGCTTAATAAAAGATATTCTGGATCTGTACATACAGCTGTAAAACACACTCTGTAGTGTGCACTTAATGACTCTGCTGGGGCAAGCTGACATGCATTGCTCCAAAAACCTGTGCTCAAAACAAAAGCAGATCCTGTGCTACTGAAGCACCTGCCAGCTGGGAGCAGCACAGGGCAGCATGGAGTCCTGGAGGGAAGACAGGCCGGTCCAGTGCAGTCAGGTCTGCCGTGATCCTCCTCGTGTCACCTGCCGGGCTAGACACGCCAGGATCACTGCCTGCCCCGTATCTCTGCATGCACTGGCCAGGGGTTGCTAAGCAACTGGCAGCCTCACTTTWAAAGAGTGAATTAACTAAATTAGTCTTGATGAAGACAAGATACAGCTGAGGATCAGATAGGAGCAGGGGGAGAAGAAAAAGAAAAAAGGGAAAAAAGCTGTGATTTGCACAAGAGAGCAAAAGGTGTCCATCTGAAAAGAAAGGGGAGTTTTGAAAGGAGGGAATYGTGTATGCCATGCAAGCAGAAGCAAATATAGAGAATTAAGTTGTTCATGCCCAGCACTGTCACTGTATTTGCGCAACACATAGCAAAGCTCCAGATCTTCAGGAGACTGCAATAAAAAAAAATAAAAAAATAAAAAGCCAACAAACCCCCTCTCCTCTTTTTGGTTCCAGTTTTAATAGAGATTCACAGCCATTTCTACGGAAGGATGTGCAGGAATTAAACAGTTAGGGTCGGTGTGGCAGGGAAGCAGTGCTCCCTGAAGCAAGCTGGGCACGCATGCTCCAAGACAGCCCTGGGTGACCGTGCAGGAGGAGACACACAGTGAATGGACACTTGCCGTGTTTTCTTCCAACCCTAACAAAATGCCCATTGGCTTAATGCTGAGAGCGTGAAGAAATTCTCTTCCAGCAAGGACAGTCTGTGCCGAGTGTGGCCTACACTTATTCTTTTGTACTGCCCAAGTTCCCTGACGTCTGAATCCAGAGTGTAATGTTCCATGAAAATACACATCAGCTACTCGGCTCAGGAACGTACGTTATTCTTCTGGAAACACAAGAGCTAGAAAAACAATATATAGACTTTACCGACCATATTCATGTTTTGTCGTTAATTGCAAGTGTGCTTTTTTCCTCTCATCTCCTCACCAAGCACATTTGCTTTCCATGCATATTTCAGCAAATAAACTCACATGGAAGAATACTTTTAGAAAATACATGCAACTACTGAAGAACATTGCCAGGAAAACCACATGTTACAGCTATGACCAAGAATTTATATCTCTCGTATCCTCCTCTGTATTTGATCTATTCATGCCAAAGCAATATGACTAGAAATTCAAATTCTGAATATTTAGACTAGGAAGTTTACAGGCCAGGAATTCCTCGTTACTGTGAGCTTGTGAGAAATTATGAATAAGATCAGTACAAAATTCTGGTGTGCAGAACATCCTAAACAGAAGCACAGAGAAATAAGCAGCATAACTGCTTTTTGATAATGCAGTTTTTCTTGTAGTAGCTATCAATCAGTCCATCTTTCCCATTCTCTTGCTTTTAAGAGACAGCAGTGTATTTTAGGAGATCTTAGTTCATAGTTACATCTTCAAACAGCTGAAATACGTGAAACAAAAATATTCCTGCATCTGAAGTTCATGTTTCCAAGGTGTTTATTCTTTACAGTGAGACTTYGATGTCACAGATCTGAGGRGATATATCAGATAAAGGACCAGATCAGATATATAAACACTCAGAAGACAGGATGCCTRCTATGCATGATTTTTAATGAGAGAAAACCCCAGTGCCAGCAACACAGATTATCAACTCTGAAGACGAGTTCAGACTGCCATCTGGGGGATTTATAACTGATAGATCTATCTGAAGAGCTAGGAATTTAGCCTGCATGATGGGTTTAGCTGGATACATTCTGTGTAACAGCAGTTAAAGCATTCTTTGCCAATACCTCAACTCARTGAAAAGTTCACTGAGTTTAGCATGCAAACTCTTTGCAAACCTGGCCTGATTGCTGCAGATAACACGTCTGACAGGCTTGACTCAGATATACAGAATGCTTTCAATAAATAATCTGCTATCTACAAGCTGTTTACAAGCTCCCCTTCAATTTGTCCTTGAGCTGTATAAATTTAGTGACTAGTTACAGAATTTRTTTGTTCTGATTAATTTCACTGACAGACAAGACTATCTCTTTGCTTTGCTGTTCCTTAAAGCAGAATAAGAAAAATGCAAAATCATCATAGATCCTTAGATGCACATAATTATTCTTTTTTTTAAATCACTCAAATTTTAAATCACTCAAATTTAAATCAAATTGCCTTAAGGCAATTTCCCTAGTGCTGATAAAACTAGAACTCTCTTTATCTCATCCATCAGCTTGGCAAGGGCTTCCAGCTTCTATTCAACCTGAATGCAGTTATTTTCTCCCATAGTCCAGATGATGACAAACTGACCAACAGCACCTAAAATAGTAGTCATCTCAGATTCCTCTGTGCTACCATTCTTGACTTTTTATTCC